CTCCTCAAAATATTGCTGACAGTTGAACTAAAGGTTTTGATAAAGGAAAATAGATTTAGTCTGTCTTAATATTTTATATTACCACAAAATATGCCCTTCAATAATGATATTTTTCATTCATGACCTGCTCTGAAGATTCACTGGAGAAAAAAAAAACATTTATTTCAGTTGGCTTAAAAAACATATAACCTGACAACAACTCTGGCATCAATTTGGAGTGTCTGCAGGATTCCATTGTTTTCATCTGCTGGTTCCTGTGTGCTGGGCAGCGCCAACAAGCAGCAGCTATGGTCCATTTTCTCTGACTAGCTCCAGAGGTATCAAAGACTGTGGAAGTGTTCCTTTCCCTGCTGGAACATTAGATACCAATCGGTATTGTTGCCAGCCACCTGTATTTTCTTGAAAGAAAATTTATACTTACCTGTTTTCCTCTGTGTTTCCTAGTACCTGTTCCACTAAGACAAAATCCTGGATTACATGTTCCTCCTTCGTGCCTCTAAAGATGAGCCCTACCATGGAACTCCTGTCACCTCTACCTTGATCTCAGACAGTCCAGCTATTCCTCCGCCACTCACCCTCTGCCTGCCTACAATCCACTAAGGTAACATCACTAATACCTCAACCTCTCCATCTTGGCTACCAACCTACATAGAATCCTCCACCCTCCTCTCAGTGCTGTGAAACTTCAAGAAACCTATCCTCCCAGTATAACCATTTAATACACTTCACTGTAAATAAAGCTACTTTACCTTTTACTCCAAGTTGTGACTCTGCTCCTCTTAGTACCTCTGCTCTGGTTATTACAACCATCATTATGATAGTTTTGGAGTTATTTTAACAGGCAAAAATTATTTAGTAAAGCTAAAAAAAAGTTGTGTTTTAACATATTAACAAGTGGCAGAGACCAAACAGTGTCATAACTGTTTTAGTTCTACAACTTGATATGTAGCATTTCAGAGACTACCAGTAAAGTTTAGCATTAGAATACATTTTGATGCATTTGTCTTAAACTGCGAGGGTTTGTTGACTTGAACACAGGAATGAAAACGTCCACAGGGAACATTATATTTATATTATGTCAAGAACAAAAACAATCCAGATCATTCACATGGCATATGAACAAAAACACTCATTGTAATTTTGGTCGAGTGATGTATTTGAATTTTTTAAACGCACAATCACAGAACCCTTATATGGTTCCAAAATAATCAAACACAGTTTGACATATGGGGCCAAGTACATATCCTAACTAAATTCTTTAAAATTATATATATTTTAAAAAAATCAGAATTTTTAATTTTATTGAGAGAAGATTGTATAATGCTGCATACTAATTGAGAATTACAACATCAAAGAGAACAAAAGAACCCTGCTGTTTTAATCAGCTATGAAAACAATGCATTTAATCACCCATAATGATACAATCTGTTGTCATATCATAAGGAAATTATACAAGGGGTGAAATAAAATTACAAGAAGATCCACATAAATAATAACAGGCATTTTATAATGGTGATAAAAAAATAAATTATTATCAAACTTACTGTTTGCCTTAATTACATGTGTAATCATCTAATTATAATTCACCCTCTAGATTATGCCTTTCAACACTCAAGTCTTTTTCAAAGCTGAGTAGAAACCCTTGAAGTTGTGTATCTTTGTCTGTAAACACGTCTAGACTAAAGAGAACTCTTGATTTTATACTTGTTATATAAATATGTTAAACATAAAAAAAGGAAAGAAACTATTGCTCTCCTGTCTCCTGAATATGTTTTATAAACCCTTCATCCTTTTGAAAACCCTGGGTACTTGGTAAGCATGTCATCATCACCTGCTGCCAAAAAAGGTGGGCGATCATGCCATTGTCCATACCGTTTGTTTACATGTTTAGTTGTCTGTCTGTTAGCAAAATATTACATAAACTGCTTCACGGATTGTATTGAAACTCTCAGAAATTATCCCTAAAATGTACATCTACAACTGACTGACTTTTGGACTTAACCTAATTAAAGCAGGCTGCCACAACTAATGGACCTAAGTAAGCACAAACTGCTTTTTACCTATCTTGTAATTGATCAAGTAAGTACAGGCATGAACCAATTTTGGCATCTAAGATTGACTGATTAAAATTGGTCGGCCAAATAGTCGCTCTATCCCTATTGTAAAATCTTTGTATGGCTGTTGCAATGGGTCATCTAATAATATGAAGCCGATCAAGCATTAAGCTAACAGCTAAAAACATTGTTTGTAATATTCAGTATAATGTGAAGCCAAAGAGTAGATTAAAACTTTAAATAAAACTTGGTAGCCTGTACTGACGTCAATATTTTATCATGATGCATACAATCAAACATTTTTTCACAATTACTCAAAAGTGACCTATAGATGACTCATGGAACATCATTGCATTTCCAAGTTAATTTATTTGTTTCCTGTATGTCTCCTTCATTACCCAAGGAGACAGTCAACGTTGACTAACTCCATTCCCGCTACAGGAAAATAAATAAATAAATAAATAAAATATATAAAAATGAATGAATAAATAAATAAAAATCATACTCTGTAAAGGTATCCAGAGTGCAGGCACTCTTTGGCCATATTTCTAAGAGAAATCAAATTTATTTTGTAAATTGTAAAAAAAATAAAGCGTAAATGTGAATGCTAGATTGCCTTGACAGCAGACAGACGTCTAGAGAAACACTGCAATTTGCAAATGTAATGTTTTCCTGATTAAACCCGTTTTCTTGTAAATGGTGGATGGATTGTTAGATTTCATTTGCTGTTTATTTTGAGCATATTCATGACAGAACTACTAGACAGAAGCCCAACACTTGTGACAGGGCAGCTGTTTTGTTGTTTGCTGACTGGAGTGTGTTGGCAGAGGACGCACTGCAGCAAGTAGCTTTCACAAATATTACAATACAAAATCTAAGGGTGCAAGACATTTCCACTGCACACACGTTAAAATTATGTTTGCATGCAAATTATTCATTCTTCTAATAGTTCAGATTGAGTTTTAATAAAGTGTAATGACATAAAGCATTTAAAATGTAAAATCTATGTGTTTTGTAGAATTGCAATGAAAAGCAATTTAAATTTCAAAGACAACTCATTACAAACAGCACACTGGTGTGTTTTTGATTAAAATGACATACCTTGCTGAGATGTTTACTCTAAAATCAGACCACCAACATGCCGATAGAGTGTACTGAAACAAACACCATGCACAAACTGGAGTGCAGAGGAGAAATACATGGCAGACAAAGAACTACCGGTACAATTATTTACACGACATGTGGAGATTTTCCATACAAATTGACACACAAGCTTCAGGATGAAATAAAATTCTGTTTTACCAATGCTGACAAGTATATTTCCATCTTTAAGTACGTGCTGTAACTATAATCCTATTTCCATTCATTATCTGTCAAAGACGCATCCAGAATTCTGAATTAAAAAAAGGTTTGAGGTTGAACATGAATATAGGTGAAATGTTTGTTTTAACTGTGAAATATTGATTTCTGTAATAATTCACATTAACTTGAAATTTGTGGTCATAGATTTTAGAAAATCATCTCAGAATAATATATATATATATATATATATAT